ACAGTAAGATCCATTGCCAATCTAGTAGCATGCTTAAATTCATGCAATCGAGGTACTACAGAGAAAAGACCACTTGCCATGAAAATATCTGCAGAAAAGATAGTCTCACGTTGATGAGAAAGTGGCAGAAATCAACATGCCAGGTCAGGACAGATTACATGACAAACCCTTCTTTGAATTTTGTCAAGAATCTTGAACCTGCATCCTTCTTTGCAAGAGAAACCATCATATAACCCATTAATTCTTTAGAAATTGCTTTGTTTACATTTCAGATCCCAAACTGTGTAGGTATGGCTTTCGAGAAAATCTGAACAAGTGAATACACATTATGATAAAAGGAGCCTTGCTTGACTGTGAAGCTCTTGATAATTGATTGGCCAAAGTCTGCTGGATTAGATGGTGGTATCTCCTGCAAAGGTTGATGCAGATTAAAATCCTGCTGGGGGGCACATTTTTCTTTAAGTTTTCTCAAGTGTACAAGTCAGTAGATGAAATAAACACTATTTAAAAAAAAAAATGCAGCATCTACTCAAATATGGGTATCCACTAAAAAAAGAAGTTTGATGTAATATATATAAGATTTAAGAAACAGCATGAATAAATAATTTATTTGATTTATTTATTGATTTTGTATCATTTATTGTTTTCGGAATTTATTGTTGTTTGTAACAAAGTAAATCCACAGCTGAAAATCAAATTATTAAATAAGACGAATGAAATAACGGGTCGATGCTGATATATTAACAAATATTTACTTTGTTACTTTAATAATAATAATATAACATTGTAAATCAATTAAAATATTAATTAAAAATATCAACTAGAATATTATATTTAATAATAAAAATTAAATATTACAGTTTAATTAATATAACATAACACCTATATAAATCATAAAAAAAAAAAATTTAATTTAATTTTGAAGAAAAAATTTACAATGGGAAGAAAAAATCTACGGCTGAAAAAATCAAAGATGTAAACAAAAGCAAAATTTTATGAACGTGTGCATGTAAAAGAACGTTAAATTCATGAATACACATATGTACAAAATGGATTGAAAAAGATGCAGTACAAAGTGAAAAATTGGAAATACCATTTAAAACCACAACCCCTGAAGACTGGAAATTTTACCAAGAAATGTCGATGTACGGGAAAAAAATTGATATTTAAAAAGTTAAATAATCTTTTCATATATCAGGTCATCCCATAAGTTCTATCCGAATTTTAACTTTTTGTTAAAATGAACAAAATTTAAAGAGTATTTTATAATGTCTAATGGAGCTGAACATTATTTTTATGTTTAGATGAATTTAAACTGATCAAATTTTATTTCAGAGAAGAATAAAATTAAGTTTTGTTTGATTAAAACCCTGCTAACATGGAAGTACCCAAGAATCATTTGAGGCACATAATGCTTTATGAGTTCAAGAAAGGAAACTCAGCAGCCGAAGCAGCAAGAAACATTCACTCAGTTTATGGAGAGGAATGTGTGAATGAAAGAACTTGCAGAAGATGGTTTGCAAAATTCAGAGGTGGAGATTTCACCCTTGAAGATGAAGATCAAACTGGACATCCAGTTAAGTTTGATGAAAAGCTTCTTGAAGCAGCCCTTGAAGAAAATCCTGCTTTATCAGTTGAGGAATTGGCAGTGGTTCTCAATTCAAACCATACAACTGTTCATCGTCATCTTCAACAACTTGGAAAAGTTCCTAAACTTGGAAAATGGGTGCCTCATGAATTGTCTGAAAACAACCTCAAATCCTGAGTTGACATCTGCTCTTCTCTCCATTCTCGCCAACTTGTGACTGGCCATGAAAAATGGATCTTTTATTGAAATGTTAAGCATCATAGACAGTGGCTTGGTAAAGGGGAAGGACCCCAGCCACAGCCGAGAAGGGAACTTCATGGGCAAAAGGTGGTTCTTTCAATCTGGTGGGATCGCCAAGGAATAATCCACTTTGAATTCTTACCACCTAATGCAACAATTAATACTCAAATATACTGTCAGCAATTAGAGCGTTTGAACCAAGCTTTGAGGAAAAAAAGACCTGCTCTAGTGAATCGAAAAGGGGTGATGTTTCATCAGGACAATGCGCGACCACACACAGCAAGAATCATGTCGCAAAAGATTGAAGAACTTGGTTGGGAGAAAATTCCTCATCCACCTTATTCTCCTGATCTTGCTCCTTCAGACTACCATTTGTTTCATAGCTTACAGAATCATTTGGAAGAAACAGCTATTGTAACACAGGAAGAGGTTAAAACTGACATTTGTGAGTTCTTCGAATCAAAGCCAAAAGAATTTTACAGTAATGGAATTAGTAAGCTTGTTAATAGATGGAAGGAAGTCATAGATAATCAGGGAAAATACATAGTTGATTGAATCTGTAATTAAATGTAACATTTGGTCACTTGTTTTCTTTATTCAAAATTTGGACAGAACTTATGGGATGACCTTGTATATATATATATATATATATATATATATATATATATATATTACACACACATACACATAAAAAGTAAATACACATTTTTTTTCACCAGACTGAACACAACCAAACTTTTTCTTGTAGGATGTACTGAAAGATTTTGTTTACAAGCTCAAACCAAAAACAATTCCTGAATTAAAACAAGCAAATATCTGATAAATATTTTGAAATTCTGAAGTGTTGCTGATAGGGTTCAGTGCTGCATTGACCATGGAAGGGAGAATTTTGAACATGTTAAATTGTTTGTTAATCATAACATATCATATGGGCACCTAGATGTGGTGTAATGGTTATAAAGCTTGTCTCATTAGAACAATTACAACTGAATAGTGAGTTTGGTCCTCACTGGATGCCCCATACTTTTAACTTTGTGCCACATCTAAACTACACTTAGAAAAAAATCACCATAACAAATCGTGTTTTGATGTGACAATACTTATAAATATTTTGAAACTACTGTATTTCCTTCAATAAAAGTTAATAAAAAGGCTGTTACTTTTGCTGCACACTATATATTTACTAACTAAACAAAAGTGTGTTCAAAACTGTTATATCATCTGGCACATTTTTCAAATTGAACACCAGCTAAAAGATTTTTAAAGACCATTTTTGTTATTTTCTAAGTAACTAAAAACAAAATTCAATTTTTTTTTTTTTAGTCAGTAATCAATATTTGGGGCAAAGTTTATAAAGGGGTTACTGAGTGTGAGAAAATATAGAAAACAAAACATTGTTAAGGAGAGGGAGCTATAAAAGAACAGGTTTCAAGGCGACAAGATAATGATTGACATTGCATTTAAATCTTTAAAGATCAAAGTTTACTGGGAAGCAATAAGTGCAAAAAAAAAAAAAAAAAAAAGAAACTGGTAGCAAAGGACTTATGGTTACAACTAACCATTTCATTTGTAAAATGATGAGACCTTGCCACCAATCTAGTACTGCACTTAAATTCATAAAGTCTAGGTACTATTATAGAGAAAAGTTCATCAGAACAATTACCATGAAAAATAAAATTTTTTAGAAAAGGCAGTGATTCAATATAATCTATATTTTGGAATCAGTTCAAAGTGACATTATTTGTAACAGTTAAATAGAAATTCATGTATCGAATATCTGTATGTGCAGATATTTTTTTTATACCCAACATCCTATGGAGAAAGAGCTACTTTATTTAATGTTGATTGTTTCTTTCACATTATAATGGCTTCTTGAATTTTGAGTCTGTCTTTGCAATGTTTATTAAAATTTGTTATATGTTAATAGTTTTTTTTATTGTTTATATGATGATTGATGTGTGTTAAATATGGAGAAAGAAAAAATTGGGGTATTTTTATTTTTGTGTTGTCTGCTTTTCATTGTACCTCACGTGTACACAAATATCAACATTTTTTCTTTTCTCCTACATATTTCATTTTCTGATGAAGCTTTAATAAAAGTGAAACATGTTAAATTTATAAACGTTTCCTATTTGTTCTTTATCCTATCATTCTGTTGGCTTCTAATCCATATTTCATCCCTATATATATATATAAAAGGGTGGAAGGTTCTTGTTTTTTCTACTTACACCTGATTCTGATACAATGTCAGTTAACTTCAATCACTAGCAGCAGTAAACCAATAATGGCAAGTCCTACAAAATACCACATCCATAATATTGGTCTCATCACAACCCAACCAATAATATCAAAGGGGATGTAGGAGGATAAAATTATTAAAAAAAAAAAAATTCATATGGGATGGATAACCGCTTCTTCCTCCCCACCCCACCAAAAGGTAAAACTCCGTGTTAAAAAAAAGAAAAAAAAGGCACTTTGTAGTTTAATGATAGTAAAATGACTATTTTTGCAATTTGTTAATGTTTACAAATAATTAAAAAAAAAACAACAAAAAGAAACAATGAAACCCGTGTGCACGCAAGGGCATTAAAGAATATCAAACGGATGGAACGAACGGAAGTTCGAATCTCAGTGCCGCCCACTCAGCATTTCGTGGTCGTGTGCAAAGCCCTCACGCTTATCAAACGAAGGAACCAAATTATTTGCAGTAGGACAGCATCGAAGATATGACCCATCCATTCAAGAGAAAAATGATTCAGGGCGTCTTTTATTTCTTTCCTTCCCAGAGTGCGTAAATGTGATCAGACGGTCTTGTGGGGAGCTTTAGTGGACGGGTAACCCAAAACATTAAAAAATCACTAGGGCTTTTCCGTTTTTAATTACTTACGTAGGCAAAATAGAGAGAGAGAAAAAACAAGATAATAGAAATAAATATCTAATTAATTTGAACGGAATGGTTTTTAACGGGTATTATTGCAATCAACCAAACAGTCCTCAAAGAACATTTACAACCATTTTCGCGATATGCTTTGCCTTGTGTTGGCGTGTAGTAACATGACAGTATCATTTTCAATTTTATGATAACATACCTATCAATCAACATTTAATGTTAGTAATGATCTGTTAAAAAAACGACTTGATAAGCATGAGATTTTATTCTTTAAAAACTTACCTGTATTGTTAGATTTATCTTCCATGATTTTACTTTAATGTTTTTTTTTTCCTTTTATTCACAAAATAAACAGACTTAAAAAAAAAAAATAAATAAAAGGAACACTTTCTGGTGTCTTTCTTTATATCTGGATGTCGTAGTAAGTGTGGCTTAATATCAAAAAGTATCAGTCGCTTCTGGTAGCAGGACCCAATTCGTCGACACAAGAAAATGTGACACACGGATGTCAGCTGCGTGGCGAGCAGAGGAACACGACATAACTTACTAGATTGCTTTTAAGTTGATTTTTCTTCTTTTTTTTTATTACAACAACTTAGTCATGGCCACGATAATCACTTGGAAAAATGCATCAACTGAAAGAAAATAGAGAAAAAAAACAGGTAAAAAATATATCTACTTAATAAAAAAAAATGAATCGATTTAGCAAGTCTTTAAAATTTATTTTGGCTTTAAAAACATGAATCTTGCTTTCAAAGTCAACCACGACAAACCAAAGACGTTTTTGAATAGCTTTTTATTTTTAAAACCCCGGCGTGAAATAGCTAATTTGCTTTCACTCGAGTCGCAAGTGTTTTGTTTTTTTTTAACCAAACCAAATAAATAAAATAAATGTTCCTAAACCAAACACGTTTTTTGGATAATTATTGCTATAGTTTAAAACTTTTAATTTAAAAAAAGGCATAAAAAGAAAGAATTCTATATCTAAACTATAAAAAAGAAAAAATAACTATTGCTGTTTAAACATAAAAAAGTTTAGTACCAAGAAACATTTATAAAAGCACTAAAATTCATTGGCGTACCATTGTACACAATAATTTTTCTTACAATATACTATTTGTTTACTTATAAATATATATTTCAGTAGAATGGTTAGAGAGGAAGGCTGTTTACTTTTTAAAATCTAAATTTTTAAAATTTAAATAAATGTTCCTGTTCCTATAAATCGATTAGTAAAAAAAACAAACACCAAAAAGATGATCTTAAAAATAAACTTAAACATTTAACTACACAACAGAAATAGACTAGAATCTTGTATCGTACAAAGAAAAACAAAGTAAAAGACATGTTTTAATTCCATCAAATCCATATTAAAAGTCGAAAGCGTAAGATTAAATTAAGAAGATCATTCACGTCCAAGGACGATCAAAAAACTCAAGCGTCACGTAGTTGGCATTAAATATATTATCGAATAATAAAACGGCAAACGTGTACATTACGTACTTTCTTTTTCTTTGATGGGTGAATGACTATATCCAAAAAACTTATGGTGGGACAAACAAGGGTCCAAAAAAAGCACACGCTTACAAAATTGGGTGGTTTGAGATTGTTATATGAGAAGATGATGGTTTCGTTTAGAGAGTTACAATTTAACCAAGGGAGGTCACTCTCAAATCATTCTACAATTTTCTCTAAGTCAGCAATGAGTTTTTCTGGAAGACTTTGTTTTTTGTGACCTTTTATTAGTTTCTTGTTCATTGAGATAATGATTCATAATTAATACCATTGGTGGGATTCAAAAATTTTAAGAACGAGTTCTCTAGTGACGGGTTCCCTCATTTTTCTATAGTCTATACTTTATAGATATAATTTAGGAATAAAGCAAATTTTTCTTGTACTTATTCAATAATACCAAAATGAATCAGCCCATCATTATTTTAAAAGGAAAAATAATTAAAAGAAATGCTTTAAAATCTTTTATTCATGATCTTTCATTTTTAAAATTTCCAAATAGCTACTTGTCATCATAGTCTTCAGTTTTTTTCCCTACTCTGTAGGGAAAAAAACACTGATTTTTTTCTAATCCATGTTTTAATGAAAAGTGTGGCATCCCATAAATCTAAAGGGAGACAAATAAGATTAATTGTTATCAAGTTTGCTGCATTTTCCACTGCAAGGTGACTTCTCTTATCTTAGTATATAATATTAATTCTTGAAAAATATCTTTCTGCCTCGGAAGAACTGATAGCAATTTTATTGATAATAGTTTTTTGCTTTTTGTACACTTTGAGGAATTACAGGATTATGAAAGTTTTTCTGGACATTTTCTACATAGTCATGAAAATCATTAATGGGAATATTGTGATGAAAAATTTTACTAAAGCCATTCAGCTTTTCTTTCCACTATTTCTTGAATATTCCAAGTATCTGGCTCTAGCAAGTTCAGCAGTTCATGAACTTTGTATTAACCTTTATTTGATCACCTGAATTTATATCCCCGACTGATTAGGTTACTACAATTTGTAGACAATCTAAAATTAGCAGTTTGTTTGGTCAGATTGCAGCTAGCAACAAGTTCACTGAGCTCATAAAATTCCAAGAACAGGTTTGCGCGAACTTGTGCAAACCCGCTGAATCCCACCACTGATTAATACATATGGTTATACTTTGACAGTTATTCTTACAATAGCTGTTTTTAATCACACATACACATGGAATAAATATAAATTTCCAAACAAATTTATTGCTCAATATTTATTTGATTAACAAGCCAAAAATATAGCTGTATTAAATATTTTCATAATGACCTGAAGATGCTGTAAATAATCATGAAAACATTAACAGAAAATAAAAATGTCTTTTCACTGTTAATTTCTTCATGAGGTCAGAATCACAGTGATTAGTAAAATTTCAATTTTTTTTAATTTATTTTGATTGATAATGTTTTATGAAGTGACTGAAGAAACTCTTAAAATGTTCCTTCCCATTTCCTGTTATATCCATGATCAATAAATATGAGGACTTTTTTGTTTCTACATATACAAAAAATTTCTAAAAAGGGTGATTGAAAAACATATTTTGAGGTAATGAAAATAAACAAGGTATGGTTGATTTATTATTTAGATTATATTCAGAACTGTATGCCTTAAAGTGACTCCTATAAGAGAAACCTGCTTTGCATGTAAATAAGAATAGAAGAAATTGTAAAAAGTGATGAGTTAGAATTACAAAGACGAAATAAGATCAAAATTGAAGATGAATAAAAAGTTAATGATGAACAGACACGATAGTAATTCTCTTGACTTTGAATGCCAAGAAGCCTGAAACTGCTGAGAATACTGAGAAAGTAAAAAAATGACATCATAATAAATAACAGATATCCCATATCAGCCAATCAATGAACACCTGATGATGACCAGCGAGTACTTAGTCAAAATGTGTCTATAATAAAATCTATATCAACTAACAACAGTTTGAAATAATACAAGAATATGTATGAGAGAGTAAAGGAACGAGGAATATTATTTGTCTTATTAACACATTCTGCACTTAAGGGATGAACTTTGGTTATAGTCACTAAATGATGATATTTTATCGCTTCTTACAATGGAATTGGCTTTTCTGAGAAAAGGCCCAACTCTGTCATCATTTTTTAAATTAACTTTATTGAAAAATGTATATATATATATATATATATATATATATATATATATATATATATATAAAGAAAAAAAAGAAAAAAAAAAAGGAAAAAGACAAGGAAAAAAGAAAATGAAAACAACGAAAAAAGAGAGAAAAGGAAAAAAAGACTAGGAAAACAACTGTTGTATTGTGTTGTTCTATGACACGTGATCAGTAGTCAACTTCTTACCTGTTTCTAAGTTTACTATACACTTTATATATCTTCTACTTTACACATACAAATATGTACAATTCTATTTATCAATCCGCTACACCTTTCTGAACCAAAGAGGTTTAATGCCTTTGGTTGTTCTCAAACTTCTACAACCTCTTTCCTCCTCTCCTCTTGAGGTTTATGTTCTGCTTTTTTAATGAAGATCTTGGTCTCATCTCATTTTCTTCTGTGTCTGAGTCACACACACTATCATTCACAGGCTTGTCTCCTATTGCATTGTCCTGATCTGAAGAACTCATCCTTTCTTCTCTGTCAAGGTCATCCATCATGTCTTCCTCTTCAATTCTAGGTCTTTACTGGTCAGAATGGGCCATGAAGCTTTTTCCTTTCTTTGATATAATGGCCATTTTATGTCCCCTTTGCATGGTGAAATTAGTTCTTTCAGGACTTGCTACTGTTATATTAAGCATATGGTGGCAGAACAAAGAAGATTTAAAGAAATAAACAACTGCATTAACATAAAATACAAACAAATGATAAATCGGTGTAGACATCTCTTGTTGAAAAAAGAGATGTGGTGTTCTAAAAGGCATCCAACTGAGGCATATGGAAGGAGAGGGAGGATGAGATGTGACTTGTTGGGGTGACTGCCTTTGGTGAGCTGTCTCTTGGAGATAGGAGGCTGCTTTCTGACAAAGTCTGTGAACCTGTGCCAAAATGCTCTCCAACTGCTGAAAATATCCCTTTGATGGGCTTTTATTTCTTTTCTGAGGCTCAAATCGACTCTGGTTTTTATTTTCATTAGGTGGGAGTGGGTGCTATTGGGTGAAAATTTTTTTTTTTTTGAGAGTGTGGGTAAAAATGGAAGAAATGTGTGGAGCCTTGTGCAGTTGACGGAATTTTAGTTCAGTTTTGGGTTTCGGAGTATTCATATCTGGCCAGCATGAATCAGAAGAAGTTCTGGTTTTAGGAAGAATGTAACACTACTTTGTCTTTCTTATGCTACATCCTTTCATTTGCTAAATAAGATGTTGTTAATGGAGATCTTATTTGTCTTGCCATTAATGCAGATGGCCTTTGCAATCTGTCTGCATGTGGAATCATCCTATAACCTTGGTAAATAGCCATCTACTTGGGGAAAATGCATTTAATCCAATTTTTACTGTCTGCATCATTCCTTCCACAATCCCATTAGATTGGGATGATACAGTAGTGCTTTGTAAGGGTAGCAGCCAATCCACTTCAACCAATTATATAGATCTCAATCAAAAAATTATGGTGTGCTGTCTGATACTGATGTTTTAGGGACCACATTCTAGAAAATACCACTCTTAGTATTTACTCATAGTTGTTTTTCTATCTTTAATTTTTATGACTTTTGGCCATCCTGAAAAGGAGTATACTAAAATTAGAAATAGTCCCATGTGATTAATGTGTGCATGGTCCATATG